CGTAAAAAAAAAATGAAGCACTGCAAAAAATGCGAAAAATGTATTAGTGCAGTTTTTCCCTTTTGCTAATATTTCCTCGATTTTGATGGTTTGGAAAAATTGAAGCGAAATAAAAGAAAATTGCACAAAAAATATTGCAACGGCTTTGCATAAATTAATTTTCACAATGCAATAAAACATATTTTCACAATGCAATACTGGAATGAAATTATTCAGAGGATTAAAACAGCAACTACTACTATTACATTATTACACGTGGACATAGATTATCAATACAGATAGTCTGCCACTCCCATTTGGACGAGCATTTATACAGACGATACCTGAACTGTAATATCTAACAGAAGAAGTGGCTGGTCGTTTGTGTCAAACTCTCTTCCACGAATTTTATCCAGTAAGTTTTATTTCATTTATTTCGATAGAAAATGTCAATTGTTTCTCAAAGCATTGCGTCACGGGAGGTTTTGGAATTTCACGACGAATCTGTAAATGAGCACTTTTTAAAACTAAATTATATTTATATTCAAAACTACGAACATTGTGAAGACTTCGCTTTGGAACGCTTGGACCGATCTCCATCATGAATAATTTCTTGTGCTTATCGCTTGAATGAGAAATGCAGTTATATTCTACTAACAATGAATAGAAACCATTCTTTTTTTCAATGTTAACATTTACCAAAACAAATTTCTCCGTTACGTTCCAAAGCGAAATCTTTACAGTGTTCGTAGTTTTTAATAAAAAATTTTCAGTTTTTAATAATAAAAAGTTTTTAATAATAAAATCTTTTAATAAAAAGATAATTCAGTTTTAAATGTCAAATAGCAGGCAGTCTTATTTCTTATACATAACTATTCATTGCATTAGTAAACTTGAATATTTTTCAGAATAGGCAAGGAAATTACTCTCTTCAATATGCATTTCATCTATTTTGTCATCATCTTCTTCGTTCAACTGGACAACATTCAAACTACAGTAAGTTCATTTAAAGTTAAGAATCAAGACAACATTACAGTATTTCGAAGACTTCAAGTTTTTAACATAATATGAGATTAATAATTTCATATAATTTGAGAAGGTGCAAACGGAAAAACAGAGTCGTTTGATTTATCAGTGAACGGAGAACAAATGGGAAATTTGTGGTTATTAGCCGAAGTAGCCGCTAAAAGTGCCGAAAGCCGAAGTAGCAATTGGAAGACAGACAGGGTTAAACTCAACAAACCAAGAAGAGAGTATTGAACAAAAAGATGTGAGTAAAAGTAAGAAATGGGAGTCTAATGAATGTGGAAAGAATGTAACAAAAATGGAAGAACATATGAGGACTCATACCGGTGAGAACCCTTACAGTTGTGACAGATGTGGGAAAAGT